TAAATATATCATTGTGGTGAGAATGTTTAAAGGGACCACGTCCCTTCTGTAGTAGTTGCCTGCTTCAGATATAGCACTCACCGTAGTTATTATTTGCTCTTCTCTATTCTAGTGAGTAAACTCTCTGCCGTGCCTGGTATTAGCAGTGTACATGAGGTGCACATCTGGGAGCTTATAAATGGGAAGATCATTGCCACCCTGCATATCAAGTATCAGAAGGACAGAGAATATCAGGATGCCAGTGTCAAAATTCGAGAAATCTTCCACAAGGCGGGAATCCACAATGTGACCATCCAGTTTGAGCATGTGGACTTGAAGGAGCCCCTGGAACAGAAGGACCTGCTGCTGCTCTGCAGCTCACCCTGCATCTCCAAAGCCTGTGAGAAGCAGCTGTGCTGTCCCCCCAGGGCGCTGCCTCTGGCCCACGTCAATGGCTGTGCTGAGCACAATGGCTGTCCCCCTCTGGACCCATACCAAAGAGAAACCACAGACGTGGCTATCGAAGTATCTCTGGAAGGCTGTCTGAGTGAGCACGGACAAGCTGTCAGCAAAACTCAGGAGGACCAAGGTTATGCCAGCAGTACACATTTTTAACCTGGCGCCCCCTAAACAGACTGTATAGATGAGGCACCTTGGAAGCACCAGCTTGGCTTGTGGAGGGAGCTGTGTGGGTGGTAGGCCCTGCCCAAGTCTGCCGTGTGCGCTGTCCGCGTTCAGTAGGGGTGGGTTGGTTGGGATATTAGGTGAACGTGTCTTCATTTTTATGTCACTGAGAACCCTTTACATTGTCCTGGGTGTCTTCTGCTGCTTTTCCTCAACCGTTTTAGTTTGGACATTTTGGACAATTATTTCCTGAAGCCAACTGATCTTGTATATGTATCAGGGACATTGAACACTGGGACTGAATGGCCATGGACACAGGATTCAAAGTAGTTTATGTTTTAAACTGATTAGAACTTGTAGCTGACTCTCAGGTGAGCTCATAGCCAAGTACATCAAAAAACTTTAATAACCATAATAGCTGTTTTTTTTCCCCAACTCCACTATAAGATCATAAAAGAGGAAAGTTAGGTAATTCTGTCACTGCAGAAAATTTTTTTGACTCATTTTTGAATAAATATCAAATAAATACCCATGAAGTTGGAAAATACTCTCAGAATATTAGAAGAAGTACAGTTTAATGGCAGAGGGTAGGAGGAAAATGCTTTTTGACCACCTCTTGGTTTTATGAGGTGGAGAGAAAACTAATGTGTACTTTTTGCTGTGAACTACAGCTATAGCATGTTTCAAATGTTTAAATATATAGTATGCTTTTTTTTCACTTGGAAGTTGGGGAATATTTCTACTTCCGGAAGTATGACAGAAGTTCGTACACACTGCCTTTTAGAGTCAGTCCAGTTGGAACTGTCTTCATTTATTGCTTAATAATGACTTAGTTGTTCCAGTTTCCTTTGAGTCTTCTTTGATATGATCACATTGATCAGTATAGCATTTACCCGGAGAAAATGAGTATTCCTCGAATATATGACATTGAGTATTCATTCCTGCCAAAAAGTAACTAGATTGTCTTTTCTTTAATTAGACATATTTTAAGGTATTTATTATAGCTGCCAACTAGTAACTTAATGGGCAAATGTGCAGAGAGAAATGAGAATTTAATTGCTGCCTTCAATGTATTTTGAAGAGTTTACACTTTTTTGTATGTCTCTGACCCATATTACCAAGTTCAAATAAATGTGCTAGAATCTAGTTTGAACCTGTAACTAACCTATGTTAGTATTGAGGACACATCTGCCATGTATTTAACAAATTGTTTAAGCAGCAATATTTTAATCAGAACAGTCTCCAAATAGGTATGAGAAAATTGGAGGTGCCTTACTAGAGAACTAGAATCTTCCTTAATGGGTTGTAAAATTGAAAGTGATCATCTCAGACTGTAAGTACCAAGTCCTCTTTAGAATCTGCACAGTACTTACCAGAAATGTCGGGTTGCTAATGGAAAAAACGCCCACATTTTTTCAGCACAAACACCGCTTAAAAAAGGTGGCTTTCTTAAATTCTAAGTCTGAAGTAAGTAAGCAACTATGGTCAGTAGGATAGGAATCTTTTCATACCTCAAAAATGTATTATCTGAGTTTAAATTGGCCATAAATGAGGTAAATAGAAGAATACCTAAATATGTTTTTATCCTTAGGAGTATATTGGACTAGGCTATATATATACTATGGAGCTAAGAAAGGGGTAAAATTTAAGAAAACATTTTTATTTTTAATGTTAATATTTTGTCATGTACTCATAAAAAACAGGGCCTCTCTATGAAACACATCAAGGTGATACATGGACCAAATTCTTCTGGAATAATTGTTGGCTTAGATGATTTGGAGTGAAAGAAGAAATTTGTCTCAATTCCAGATTTAAAAGTCTAATTTGATTTCTCACCATTTTGCTTTTATTAAAAGAAAAAATTACAAATCCATCATTTTTGTTCAGTTGGCTAAAGGATTGCCTATTAGTTTACATCCAAATAGTGTTCTGTAAATTTAATCTCTAAAGCATTTTTCTGGAAAGGAAAAGGCACTTAATTCCAATATAATTAAATCTAACCTCAGAAAAATTTGTTGCTAGACACTTAGGAACATCAAATTATGGACTAGAGCCAATAAAATAATATCAAATTATGGACTAGAGCCAGTAAAATAATACTGGTATAAGACACTTCGGTGGCACGTATTTAATAATGTTCAAACCAGCTAATTAATGCAGTATTTTTGTGCCAGGGTAGGTGGTTGCCTTTCCCCTCTCAACTGCTGTGATGCCGTCTGGCATTTTTACTTGGGTTTTACTCTCCTTTAATTGCCCTGCATTTAATCTTCCCAAGGAAATGCACGACTTTTCTTTTTCCCTTTGACTCAATGCTGCTTGGTAGCAATAGTGCCTGATGAAAAGTGGATTTATACAATACTGTTTTTCTCCAAGATTAGAAAACCACTGTCACTCAGTTTAGTGTTCCTGTGTGCCTAGGATAATTCTAGAAAATTCTTTTTTAAGAGCTAAACATAATTTTTCCAGCCAGGGCATCCTCAGCGCGTTTGGGCTGGAGCAGCAATCCCGCGTGCTCGCCTGGAGGACGCAGGTGTAGCACTGACTTCTGTTCAGGGTACTTCTATTTCAAGGGAAAGAATCTTTTCCGCATTATTTCAGCACCAGCTGTGGGAAGTACTATGTCTGCTTTTATTTTCCAAACTTCAACTTTGTTTTTTTGAAAAGAGAGGTTAAATTTTTTTCATGATATTTGGCCATTATGAATATCCAGGCCCCATGGTTCACAGATACCATCCCTTGGATTATTTGACAAAATATCAATAGGGAGAACATTGTGTGAGGAAGAATTAAAAATATTGTCCATACTTAATTACCTTTTTTTTGGCTGCCAACTATCCAAACTCTTGGGAAGGTAAATCAGGAACTCCAAAGTTCCGTGGGAATGGGTGCTTGGAATGCAAAGAAATCACTGAGGTAGATTTTGGATAATAGTAAGACAGCTTCCTACCGGTGAGGTAGGAAGAGATTTTGTTACGCTTTCTCAGTCTCAACACTGTTGACATTTTGACCTGAATAACAGCTTGTTGTGTGGGGCTGTCCATCCATTGTAGGATTTTTAGCACTCCCCCTGGCCTCTCCTTACTGAATGCATATCCCCACCAGCTGTGACAATGAAACGTGTCTCCAGACATTGTCATGTGTCCCCTGGTGGCAAGTTTGCCCCTAATTCTGAACCCCTGACTTAAGCGTAATTGAGGGATATTATTGACAAAGTCCTTCTAGAGCCCAATATCCCCGTGAATAGAATCAATTCTGCAGAATTCACTCATTAAAAATTACTTTTAAGACAAGATCAAATGATTCATAAAAATTCCAGTAGTCTACATAGAAAGTTTGGACATTTAAAAATATATATAATTTGGAAAAAAAGACCTTACAAATCTGATTATACAGATCAGTTAATAGAACAATGAATGAAATGGAGAAAAAAGCATTTACTCTTTGTGCTGCGATGATCTCTTCAACTCATGAATATCCTCAGTTGATGAACCCACCATAAAAGGAGACCATATACTATCAGTATAATTGACTCTTGGGGTTAAGGTGTTTAATTCGCCACCAATTTTAAAGTTGACGATGTTTCTTTTTCCTGGTTCCTGACAGTGACTGGCTCAGAAGTTAAAAAAAAACAAAAACTTTATTGTTTATGGCTAACTTAATCCTTTGCCACATCATAACCCTATTTTCCCCAAGAGTACAAAATACAGTTCCTGCTTTTAAATATATCTTCACACTCTTGCAATAAAAAACTGCAAAGAGAAGGCTGGTTTAGAAAAGAACACGGCAACACAACGTGATTTGAGTTGAATTTAGACAAGTAATGACCACGGACTGAATGCCTTTTCTATAGCTCTGTTGTTTTCCTGATAAACTCGCCTGTTTGTGCTTCTGAGTAGATTTGGGTGTGAGCAGCCCCAGGAAGAAATGGAAGTTACTGATTTGGGAAACTGGCGGCTCAAATGGAACTTGCATCAGACACTGACTGACCCTGACTGGAATCTAAATGTTTCTATGAATTTTGAGTCTAGTTAATGACGGTGTGTCATTTTCTGGAGCTTCCTTTTGACGTGTTTTTTTTTTTTCTGGACCTTACTGTTTACATGGAACTTTCATGATTGTTGTTAAATGGATCAACCATCTGCTCTTGCTACAGAGCCAGGCCAGAGACACTGAACCCGCTTCGAATGCTAATGAGAATCATCCATAAAGGACGGTGATTTTCAGGGGACCCCTTCCTGGAGCTCTGAAGTTATGTTACAGTATTGTGGAGTTTTGTTGCTGAAAGTCTTCCTTCTGTCCTCACTGACGATTTTGCCAAAGTGTAATTGTCCCATTTGGGGGAATTATTAGAACTCTAAGATGTAAAGTTTAAATAGCTCACTAGTGGCACGCGAAGTCCCCCAACAATGTATGCACATATGCACACTTTTAAAAGCAGAGGCGGTTTAATGGTGCTGTAAATAAAAATTTTTAAAAATAAACACACGCCCTAGATGTTTGTGGAAGTTAAACAGATAAACTCAAAGGAGCTGAACTCATTCTGTCTTTCTCACTGACTCAAGGTCATTTATTACCCAGCAACTCTTCAGATTGGTTTTAGTAAATGGGGACTAATTCGCTGTCTCCATTTTGCTGCTGTCTTCACACCCCTCCCACCACTCTCCACCACCTACAATGATGTCCCAGGGCCCCTCTTGGCACAAATGTCACAAGCCCACCCAGCTACCTGAGTTCCTGTAACCTGGACTGACCTGGTTTTCTAGGGCGCCCTATTTGGCCCTGGGCTACCCAGTAGGGTTTGTGTAGGAGGGGAGCTCCTGGGATTTAGGGAATGGTGGAGTGGTCAGGCATATTTTGGAGAGGCCCTGTACATTTGGGAATCTCTCCAGTGAGCTCTCATCTTTACAAATATTGAATAAGGGGAAGGGTTGAGACAGGGCCTGTGGGTGTAGTCAGAGTAGGGTGAAGGCCTCTGGGAAAAGACCCCTATCAAAACTCCATATTAAACAATTAAGCAAAGATAGAGTCACATTAATTCTGTAAAGTAAAATATCAAACTAGGAATATAAGCATTCTTCAGTGAAAATTAGTTAAAACTAAAAAGCCAGGAGTAACTTAGCCTCAAATGTTTGTAAACCTCCCAGAAAAGAAAATACCTCAGCATAGCCCATGTCTTGTTGGTATCAATTAAATAAAGCTATTGTAAAATTTACTTTAGCCTGCTAAAAAACCTGGTTTATCTTTAACTTTACCCAGATGCTGCTTTTCCTCCTCCAGCCCTAATCAAATCAATAAGTCAGCTCACCTTCAAAGCAACACAAGCAGCCTTGACTGATAAGCTCCCAAACTAAGAAACTGCCACTCTGAGAAAGGATCAAAGCAGTAAATTTCTTATGTTAACTCTACAAAATAGTCCGGAAAACTGTGTCTCTTTAAAGATAAACATTTAGAGACCATCTGGTGGGTCTGCATCCCTAGCTCTTTGTCTTTCAACCACCTGTGAGTCCCCTAGACAAGGCACCACCCCGGGCTCTCTTGTCCCCTCCTGGCTCACGCCAGGAGCTCTGTGTGTCCTCTCACTGTATCTCAATAAAAGTCTCCCGGGCTCTCCTACCTTGACTGTTTGCTAAGTTCATTCTTCGACTCGGAAAACAAGAACCCCGGCATCAGGGTCTGCCAGGTCAATCAGTCAACTGATTAGTCAGCATATACTTACTGTAAATGAAAGCATCCAAGTATTTCTTGCCTCTTAAGAGTTTATAGTCTACATTAAAGCTAAGTAAGGCAATTCAACTTTATGAGAGTTAAAGGAGAGCTACCCTTAGCCTGAGTTTGCTGGGAGTGGTTGAAGGGATCTTGTGCTGGATTGGATCTGGTGCTCAAATGTGCACATTCTAAGCCCTGGGCAGCATCTGCAAAGGGAGGCTGTACATTTCGTGACTCTCAATTGCCTTCAGAAATGAGTCTGAGCAGAGCACTAAACCCAGGGCCTAGAGTACAGAATCTCTGACTACTACATCCAAAAGAGAACTCTGCCTTTCTGTCTGTCTGCTACCCTGCCTGATGTTTCTTCATAGCACTGTCACTTTGTAACATTTTATTGCACATTTACTTGTCTACCCCACTAGAAGAAGGCTTTGCATATTCACCATTGGAATCTTCAACCCCTATCACAGTGATCCAAACAGTAACAAGGGACCTGGCACATGCTGGTAGCTCAATAAATATTTACTGAATGAACGAATGGAGAAATGAATAAACACATCAGTGAATGAAAGGTTCAGTGTCAGTTTTACTGGTTGCAGGCTTTGGAAAAGTGACTTAGCTTTGTTGCACTTCAGTTTTCTTATCTATACAGGAGGCTACTGAGGAAAGCCTGTGTTACTTTCCTTACAGAGCTGTTGCACTCCTAGGAGATAGGAGAGCAGAGTTAAATGTCAATGGATTTTATTATTTTACACTTTCAATCTGGCATTCACATTCTTCGTGTTCTTATCCTGTCTGCTCTCATCTCTGTAATTCTATTCTGTCAAACACCATTTAAAGCTAAATAGCATTAAATAGTAGTACAATCAACATGGGTGAAAGTGAAGAGGAAAGGAGTCAAGGATGGCTTCACAGAAGCCTGGACATTTCAAACTGGTCCGGAGTAGTTCAGTGGATGGAGCAAGAGGGAAAGAGCTTAAGACCTTAGAATGCATTCTTCTGGCAGATGGCCCTACAGCTTTCATAGGAGGGAGGTTTGGCGGTTGTGCAGACGGGGAAATGCCAAGAATAGACTATTCCTGGGCAACAATTTTATCCAGACACCTTCCCCACATGCTCTATGTTGCTCTATCATCCTGGGCTCATGGCATCTGCCACCTCACCTCCTGTCCCGCCGGATCCTGAGCTCCACCAGTTGCTCAGGACTCATTGTGCATGTCCTCGGCAAGTCTGCAGACACTGAGTTCTAAAACCAGTTTCCCTGATGCTTTTCTGCTGAGTTCAGTGGGTACATCCTGTCTACATTCCCCCCAAACCAGCTCGAGCCTTACAGCCAGGTTTCATGTCGCTTTTTCCCTCCCTTATGCCTTATTAGTCATCAGCCTCAGTTAGTGTTCCCTCCAAAGGGCTCTAGATGTCTGCCCTTCTTTTTCCATTTCGGCCCCCGTCTCTGGGGTTCAGCTTTACCACCTCACATCTGTGCTGTTACAGAAGTCCCCCGGGCCACCTCCGGACGCCTTCCTGTGAACCCTTGCTTCCCTTTGCTCTGGGAGGAGGAACGGTCTTCTCAGCCTGCTACTGAGGCCCCTTCCCTCCCCGGGGCCCCCTAGCCTTTATCTTCTTCAGCAGAAGAGAAGAGCTCAGAGATACCTAAGGGAGCTCGCACATGCTGTCTGTGTGGACCAGCAAGTTGAATTCGCTGTGACTTGGAGAGTGAATATCATACAGTAGCCTGGCTTTTTTATGCTAAAAAGACATTTTCCCTTTTTTAAGTTTTGAGTTACATTCACCAGATTACTTCCTTTCTGGTTTCTCTTTTTCCAGATTCCTTCCTTTTCTATGTTAGTGTGTCCCTTTGTCCCAAAGGGTGATTTCCTGTGGATATTGGATGCAGCCCTTCCACGCCTGGTGTCCTGATTCCGGAGCAGACTCTGAAACTGACAAATTCCAGGCCTGGAAGCAGATCTTTGATCTTTCTAGTCTTGTGAGGCAAAGGGTGGTGGACTCTCCATTGTCTCAGATTTTCACCACGTGGTCACAAATGTGTCTGAGCCATAACAATGAACCCCAACACAGAGCCAAAAGATGTGACTCCTCACACCAGTTCTTTTAGGCTTAATAGAGGCAAGAGTTAGTTTGCATGGAGTTTATGACAGGGCTGGGTGGTGGCATTCTCCCTACATTTTCTTGGAGGAGGGAGGGGAAGAGAGAAGAGAAAATTCTCTGAGTGGCTGGTGTTGATACAGGCTTCGTTGGTGATGATAATAACCATGTCTCTTATCTGCCTCAGAAAGCTGAGAACCTGGAGAAAATCATGCTGGAGTGTCGTGAGCATGTGGCTGTAATCTGATGTTCAAAAGTATTTGCAAAAAAAACCAATATGCCACTTTTGGCAGGAATGAGGCTTGGTGCTTGTTTTCTAGCTTTTTGCTTTCTGTTGTTGAAAAGTGCACCATGTGGTGCATCTATGTGTGGAGACGTGATTTGGCCTATGGCATGCCCAAACCTAAGTTATAAAAAAGGGCTTTACAGAGAGGTTTTATTATGAAAACTAACATCTATATGAAGGACAGCTCGAAGCTTGAGCATTCTGGCCCCGGGGGCCAACCTGGTGTCAGGTCCCAGCTCTGCCACTCATCAGCTGCTTGACCCCAGGAAGTACTAGGCCCGTGAACAAAAGACGTTCTCTGGGCCTCAGTTTTGCCATGTGTAATTCTTGCCTCATGAGGCAGTTGTGAGGACGAAAGACCCCATAAATGCTTGAGGAAAGCCAAATCATCAAAATACCTAGTTTAACAGGTAAGATTTTATCTAGATTATTCCTATGTGAACTCACTACTTGTGGTGGAAATGCCAAAAATGTATAGTGTAGGCCAGACCAAGTGTCAGTACCCAAATAGATTTTAAATTCTTCAAGGGCAGAGGCCCTATTCCATGAAAAATATAAACCTGAGCACCTGACCAAAAAAATTGCCCTATTCTTATTTGTAGGAAAATAAAACAGACCCAGTGCTGAAGGGCTTCAGTGGAATATCAGGGCTCGGTTCCAAAGGACCTTAACTCCCAGGCCAGGTGGCACCTTCAACAGGGATATTATTCCTTGAGGATTACTGAGTCCAGGGTTCTAGGCAGAAGCAGTGAGAGCTTCAAATGAATCCAGGTGAATCTCCATTTCTGTCACTGTCTACCGGCCAGAAGACCTGTAGGGACATACCTGTGGTCGAACACGTGGGTTTTAATGCTCAATGCAGAGAGGAGACTGTACACCAGGGGGAAACAGGAAGCATTGCAGGAAGACGGTGTTCACAAGGACCTACTGTAGCATTTGGGCTTGTGTCAGGTGATCCTGGGGAGGAGTCAAGGAAATCATGGGGCATTGTCCTGGATTAGATGCTGCCAGCAAGTGGGGATAATTCTATGACCGGGTACCTTTTTTAAAAAATATTGAAATAGAATTGACATATAGCATTATATTAAGTTCAGGTGTGCACCATAATGATTTGATATTTGTGTGTATTGTTAAGTGATCACCACAGTAAGTCTAGTTACCATACATAGTCACAGAACTTTTTTCTTGTGTTGAGAACTTTTAAGATTTGTTCTCTTAGCAACTTTCCAATGTGCAATACAGTACTGTTAACTATAACCACCATGCTGTACATTACATTCCTCATGATTTGTTTATTTTATAATTGGAGGTTTGTTCCTTGTGACCCCCTTCACCCATTTCACCCAACCCTCCCACCCCCCCACCTCCGGCACCCAGTAATC